TCACAAAAGTATTTTTTCACTTGTTCTCTGTGTGGGAGCAAACTGTTGAAATCTTTACTTAATGTATGCTAAACTGATCTTCTGTATATAAAGAGAAACGAAAATGAATCTTGATGTGAATGGAAGGGGAGAGGGAATAGGAAAGGGGAGGGTTGTGGGTGGGAGGGACATTATGGGGGGGAAGCCATTGTAATCCATATTCTGTACTTTGGAAATTTATATTCATTAAATAAAGGTTTTAAAAAAATTCTTTTAACTAAAGGAAAAAAAATCATAGAAGTGTAGGTTATCATTTTATTATACCATCTCCACTACTATTCAATCTTCATGCCATAGTCCCTAATATGAATGTTGAGAAGAGCTGTTTTGACATGGATCCATGACTGAGAAATGTAGAGATTTTAAGGAAAAACCATAAACCAGGGATATGGAGTATGAGCAAAGATTTGCTGTCTGAGAGACCAGGATGTGGAAAAGAGCAGCAGAGATGGCATGGGGCACAGTGGGTTGGCAACAGCCTTAATTCTATTCTTGACTCAGGAATCTCTGAATAAGGACAGCAAGTTATTTCCATAACTGTTTTAACACTATTAACCAAATACTGAAATTTTAGAACACCAAAAAAATATAGCCAGATCCCTGCAATTTCCAAAAAGTATATAAATAAAAGCACAAGAGTTGGAAAAGAGGAACTCAGGAGAGTTAAAACAGGCTGTTTAAAGAACATTAGCTCAAAAGGTTTGTGGCAAGTAGAATTAAAAGATGAGTTTATTTTGGTGCAAAAAGTTTTTGAAATCCATGCATACCAGAGGTCTTCAAAAAGTTAGTGAAAAATGCGTATTATGAAAAAACTATGCATGGACTTCAAGTTTTGAATTTCTTGAAGTATCCTCATATTACTGGGAAGAAACTGAGGTCTTTCCCTCATCCTGAAATGAAGATTTTTATTTTTCTGCTTAGGGATTTCTTCAACTGGGTAACAAATCTAGCACAAAGCAGGAGTGGGAACCAATATTCATTAGTCAAGTATATATGCATTCATGTCATTTTAGTTTCACTACCATGTTATTAGATTGAAATTATTTTCTATATATCAGATAGGAGGAAAAAGTGCAGAGAGGTTAAGCATTTTTCTCAGCTAATACATGGCAGAATCAGGAGTCGAGTATGACCTATGACTTTTTAAAAAATTAATCACATGTAGGCATCCACTGAGACCTAGTTGTAAGGCATGTGGTTTGGCTTTGTTTTTTGGTGATGGAGGGTTAATTTTTGTCAAGGTTTATGGTTACTCAGGGAAATGCACAATCACTAAAGTCTGGATTTTAGGTTGTTTGAAGCAGGAAGAAAAAGGAATTCAGTGAGAAGACCTCTTCTACAAGCAAGAATTTGTTTTCAGAAACCAAAAATTATAGTAGCCCAGAGGCTTTCAAGGGAGGGTTTTAGTTTGTATATATATTTTGGGGAATACAGTTGAGGTTCATGTGGAGTTTCATATCACCATTTGGCTAGGGAAACTGTTAAAAACCTTACTGTTTTTTAATATAATTGCCAAGTAAAAGTTATTTAATGCCAGAAGCTTCATGATGGCTCAGATGGAAGTATAGAAAATATTTTTGGAATGGGAAAGGCCACCTGACCACACATTCTTAACCCTGTCCTCATATTTTTGCCAAAACTTTCAACTTCCTTGTGTTTAGAAATTCATGAGTTCTTGAATTTACTCATATGTGTAGTTTACCTGTAGTCTGGGAAATTCATTCCAAACTCCAAACCTCTGAATGATATGACTCTGACCAGATTTCCTAAGTACATAGATTATGGCTCCTCAAACTCTAGCTGTTGCCTCCTTCTGTATATAAAGTAGGATTGGAACCCTGCCACAGCAGGTTGGGTACTGCTCATGGCTGCTGTCATACCACCAAGGCAGAGTTGTGTGGTTGGAACAGACAGGACAGGCTGAGATCCCTAAAATGTTTACTATTGGGACCTCTACAGGAAAAGCTGGCTGGCCTCTGACCTCAACATGGAGAATTTGTCACTTCTGGTTTGCTTCAGTGACTTCCTTGTTTACTGAAAAAAGTTAACCATTTTTTTTTTCCAGAAGTCAGCCTGTTGCTAGGAAGAATAACTTAACTGCTGGTGGGATCACTGGAGACCCTGAGCCTTTAAAAGAGTACACGTGCCCATGCCTCACTTGTGCTGTGTCCTTATTGTCCAGCATCCTCGGACGCTCTGCATCTGCCTGGTTCAAGATGTGACCTTTGCACTTGCTCCCAATACTTTTCTTTTGCTGAGGCTAATGTATTTATGAGGATGGTTCCTTTTCCCTTGGCTTGCTATTCTTCCACTTCTCAACTGGGAAAAACATTTGTCATCTCCATTTCCTCTAGTTCTTTAAAGGAAACACGCCAAACCAAATTGAAAGGGGTTTATTTTTCCCCTCCCTATCTCCTCTGCCTCCAGTTTTTATATTATCTGCAAACTTGGAAACTGCATTTCATGTGCTTATGACTTTTACATATAGCATTATTCAAAACTGTGGTTCTGTAACTGACCCTGGAGGAATTTCCCATCTGATTCTCTCTTCCATTCTGAGAAGTTTCCATTTGTGGATACTCTGTGTTGCCCAAGGTAAAGCCTTCCAAGTTCTCCTTAATTCATTGCCTATTCAACAGCACTTTGGACCACTGTCCAAAACTTTCTGGGAAGTATAAGCATTTAGAGACTACAAACATCTCTTACTAATTAGATCACAAAAGATAGTAAAAAATGTCCATTGAATATGAGCATCTTATGTCCAGATTTAGGCTGATAATTCTCTAACCCATTGTTTTCTTAGGTGCCTTTTTATCCCAGTTCTTTGAAAACCTGCCTAGATTTTCCTCAAAATCAGAGTGAGGCTGCTTATTTGGGAATATCTTGCAAGATGATGTGATGCAATGGCTTCATGTCTAAATGAAAATGATCACAGGTACTGACAGAGGAACACCCACTGTGTATAAGGTACTTTACAGACATTTTGTTCTGTTCTTTACATCCTTGGAATTTTGAAGGGCAGAATAAATATTAGTGCCTGGTCTTATTAGTATCATTGTATTTTTTTTTTATTTTTATTTTTTTTGACAGGCAGAGTGGACAGTGAGAGAGACAGAGAGAAAGGTCTTCCTTTTGCCGTTGGTTCACCCTACAATGGCCGCCGCGGCCGGCGCACTGCGGCCAGCGCACCGCGCTGATCCGATGGCAGGAGCCAGGAGCCAGGTGCTTTTCCTGGTCTCCCATGGGGTGCAGGGCCCAAGCACCTGGGCCATCCTCCACTGCACTCCCTGGCCACAGCAGAGGGCTGGCCTGGAAGAGGGGCAACCGGGACAGAATCCGGCGCCCCGACCGGGACTAGAACCCGGTGTGCCGGCGCCGCTAGGCGGAGGATTAGCCTAGTGAGCCGCGGCGCCGGCCTAGTATCATTGTATTTTAACTCATAAGAAAACCAAGGTTCAGAGATTTTAAAGTGGACTCACAAAATTAAGTGACAGAACTGGGATTTTCGCCTAAGTGGCTATAATTATAAACTTACTGTCTTCTACAATCGTGGGCTGTTCTCCATGTTAAATGATGTATAGATTGCTTCCCTAAATGAAAGGGGTGGGGAGGACATGGTGGGTAGACCAAGATCCAGAAAAGGAAAACAGGAATAGGCTTAGGGATTACATTTCCAAAACCCTTTGGCATTAGTCCTTTCCCTGGGATTGCATGTAGTAAAGCACTCTTGGGTTCATTCCTTAAGAAGTATTTCTTCAAAGTATCTAGTTTCATGTTATTCATGTTCACCTATATTCCTTTTGAAAAAGTCCATAACCTTGAGTAAAGTTGCTTTAAATGTTGTAAGATTTATATCTCTGAACTATGATTAAAATAGGTGACTATGGCTCACTTTTCTCCAGTGGTATTAGAGAGTATCAAGGATTTCCCTACCAGTGTGATACAGTCAGCAGAATTTTAGATCTTTCTTAGAGACAAAGATGAACCTTCCATCAGCTGTCCTTACTAATTTGGTAATCTAACCTTGTTTTCAATTTGAGAATCTGGCTTTTTTTTTTGTAAGGAAGTACCTTCTTTACAGGTACTGTTTTTAGAGTTGGACTGAGGTGTGGGAATATCAAACATATATTTGTCTGAATTATATAATGTGGGGATAGGTAATTTACCAGATTCTTTGGCCAAGTGTATGTTATGTGTTGCAAATGTAAGTTGGAGTTATTTTTTCATGGATCTCAGCTCAGACATGATGAAGAGTTCAGTGTTCATCTAGTGTGATTGAAAAAACAAGGGACAGCTTAGCTTCCTCTTGCTTGAGGTCTACATCTCTAAGAAGGTCATGAACACTGCAGACTTACAGAGTGGCAGAGACACACAGATGTAACAATTGCAATGTTTAGTGAGAACCTATTGTGTGCCTAACATTGTGCATAAATGGCTGGTCACATATATGTAAAGATGGAGTTACCAATAGGACAAAAGTCCATTCCTGAAAGATATGTGCAACAATGAAAATGAAATACTCATATATTGGAAGCCAGCTGACTAGAATATTGAAAGTTAACTTATTCTAGGTCTTGTTGACCTCAACAACTTCTTTATAAAACCATGGCAAGCCCATGTATCCAACTAAGTCTAATCGTTAATAAAATGAGGTAGTACCTGGGGTCAGACTACCTTGGATCCAAATCACATCTCCACTATTAAGTTGAGACTTTGGGAAAGTTAATCTAACATCTCCAATTCTCAATTTTAACATCTATAAAATTTGGATAATAAATTGAAAGGGCTATTTTGAGGACAAATGCAAACCTAAATGTAAATGCTCAATAAGTGCTAGTGATGATGATGACGCTGCTGCTGATGATGATGGTGATGAAGATTTCTCCATGGGCCTGAATGAGATGAGAGAAAGGAAGACAAGAAGTATTTACTCTCTGTCCTTATTCATTCTAGAGCAATGTTTTCAAATTGTGCAGTTGTCTGCCACATAATCTTGGGGTTTCCTAAAATTTCTATAGTGGAGAGCATGTAGGCAAGACAAAATGGTTTACTTCCGAGTGGGTATCACTCTGGAACTCTGCCATAGTTGCATATTAGAGAACACATATTAGAATGGCCATCCAGATTACAGAAAGCCAGCCAGATCACATCCTTACAGAAATTAAGAAATCTGCCTCCTAACAACTGGTATTCACCCTTTAGTTCCCTTGTTCATTCATTCATTGGTTTTTCATTTGTTGGGTATTTATTATGTTGTTAGAATTGTCAAGAAAATAAGACCCATTCCTAAATGTCTGCCATTGAGGAAGATGAACATAATTCAGAAGATTATTTAGTAACAACAAACATCTGGGTCTATTATACAGTGGTAAGGGCTGAGACAGATGTATAGTGGAGGTATATAGAGTAAGGAGCCATGTGCACCTGTGTGGAGAGGGGTAACATATCCAGCCTTGGTGGATAGGCTTCCTTTAAGAAAAGACTGGAGTTAGCCTCGCAAAGTGTATTGGAAAGCCCTAGGCAATTCATAAACAGCAAGAAACTGGGTATTGCTGAAGAGTAGAGCTCAGTTCCATGAGGTGGGATATATAAAAGATGAAGCTATGAACAGGCAAATATGAGATGCTAAAAGGCATTGTATATCATGCTGAGGTATTTGGACCTTAACCTCAAGTGATGACAAACCATCAAAATACTTCCATTTAAGCACAAGAGTAGCAGGGACAGGTTTCACTAGAAAGATGCTCTAGATTAGCACACTGAATGGTCTATAGCAGGAGGCAGTAAATTTTCTGTAAAGGAACAGAGAGTAAGTGTTTTTGGTTTTGAAGGCCACCTACAGTACCTCGTGTATTCTTAGTTTTTGTTTGTTTTTAATAGTCCATTTAAAAATGTAAAAGCCATTCTTTTAATAACCATTGACATAATCAGGTGTGAGACCTTGAGCAACTTAACCTAATAACTCTGTGCTCTATTTCATTGGCTCTTTTAATAATCCTTTAAAAGCTATTCTTAATAATCCTTTAAAAGATATTAGAGCCACTGGCTGTAATGTGCCAACTCCTGGTCTGAGGAAGGCAAATATAGTCAGGAGGCTATTGCAGTACTCTAGGACAAACCAAAGTAGAGGTGGTGAAGAGAGAACACAGTACAGGGATTGAAGAGCCACGGAGAAACAAGAACTGTCTAGATTTAGGGACCAAATATTGAGTTGACTAATTTGTGAAGCATTTGGGTGGGGACATCCAGAGATTTGGTCTGGTGCTGGATTGATGGGAGTCAACTAGCATAAGGGGAACACTGGAGTCATGGGAACCATTCATGTATATATAGAGGGAGTCTAAGAGGCTAGACAAGAGCTGAGTAGTGGAAGAGAGGTCACAGAGAATGAGAAAGGACACAGTAGCATGAAGGAAACCAAGGAAATGTGGTTTTCAAAGTAGTAAAAATAATGTGCCTTAAGAAAATGTGGTTAGCCTGTTCAGAACACCACTGAGAGGTCAAATTAGATAGGGGATGTTTTGGGAGAAAATTTTCCTTTTGAACAAAAAATAAACTTTTGAGGGGTGAGGAGAGAGAATTTTTTAAAGAGAAGTATATTTGCATATATTCTCCAAATACGAGGTGGGCAAATAGAGGCCATTTCTGTAATATGATGAGTAGGAAAAAAATTAAGACTAAAGAATTCAAGATTAATAATCAAGGAGTTGCATAATGAAGATAGCACTTGATATGCAAAATATTTCAGAGATACAGGTTAGCTACTTGAGGGCTGTAACAGTAATATTCTCAAACCACAAAGGCACCATTATTGTACTAGTCCCTGTGAAGTGAGGCTAGAATATTTTTCTTCTGATGGACTGTGCATGGCAGCAGAAACCACTCAATTACCAGTCAGCCACAATCACTGAAAGAATTCTTTAATGAAAGCAAAGAGAAAATAAATGCAAGTTCTCTTGTTTTTGAAACCCAGTGGCACGCAGCACTTGGAAAAGAGTTTACTCACTCCCAATGGCTTTGCCTTTTGTTCTCAGGCTGAGTTGGGAGGCTATGCTTAATTATTTTAACCTCTAGCAAGTTCAGAACTTTTCTACAAACCAACAGCAGATATGGAATCTGTTAACTTCTACTGTGTCTTCTTCCTTCCTGTATGTGTGCCTACATTTTTATGGTATCATCTTCAAATCCGAGGTCCAGTATGCACAAAATAAGAAGGTAGGTCAAAAGTTCATGGAAAAAGAGAATGAAACTGTTTATTCTGGTGCAAAAAGTTCTGAAAAATTTTTTATAATATGCATGCGTTGGCCATGAATTTTTTGAAGCCTGTTCCTGTGCATGGGTGTCAACATTTCTTATAGATGATATATGACTCTGTGGCTTTCTGGGAGTCAGAGAGAAGGCAGGAAGACAGGATAGTGTTTGGAAAAATGAGCGCCCCCACCTTCCAATTCATAAGTGTCACTTTAGCATGGAGTTTAGTCTACCTCAACATGATGTTTTAATAGTGCCAGTAGCAAGTGTGTCATACTCTGAGGTTTGCCTTGCTCTCTCTCCTCTGTCTCAGTGCATTCTAAAGGTGGTCCTGCAAACAAAGGCCCCAAAACACTGGTGCTCTTGTTAAACTTTAAAGTGTGGATCCCTCCTATAGAGTTCTGGGCTGAGGAAGAGGGTGAAACAGTCTATTCTGACAAGTTCCTTGTTGTTACTATATATTGAATTTGGGAACCCTTCCTCTACTTTTTAAAAGTTTAAACATTTAAAGACAAGTATTCTGCCATTTGGAGTTTACTGCAAACTGGAGGCCTAAGTTAATTTATCTTACATCAGTACTTGAGTATTTCTTAGTTTTTGGAGAGTGGGGTCCTTTTATTATTTATCATTTCACTGTATCAAATAACTAGTAATATTTATAGCACTGAAAAATTAGTACAGTGGGTCCCTTACCAGCCCCATAGCCTCTTCTCCTCTCCAATCCATGTGCTATAAGGCAGCCCTTGTGAATGTATAAAAATGGACTTAGATCAATGTCAATTTCCTGCCTAATATCCTCCCCCATTTTCCCACGGTACTCAGATTGAAACCTAAACGCCTCTCCTTGGTGTCTGGTTACCCCCACAACATCATCTTATAATACCTTTACCTTTTGCTTTCCACCCTCCAACAGAATGAACTTCTTTTGGGCTCCTTCAACAAACTGAACTCATTTTCATTTTAGGGCTTTTGTACTGCTTTCTCCTTGTCCAGGATACCTCTTCTGCCTTATGTGGAATTGCTGGACACTGGTTATTATGCACTTCTTGGCTTCCACATAAATGCCTTAGAATGTGTGTCTATATACGGTCACCCAAGTCATTCTCCATCACTTCCCTGTTTTGATTTTTCTGTCCAACCCTCATCACCAACTGATATTTTTCCTACTTACTTTTCTGTGCTTACTTTCTAACTCCAGGCATTAATTAATTTATTCACTGTTAGAACCTGTTTGGTGGCAATGACTACTCTCAGCACCATGGATACAACAGTAAAGAAAGTCTCTATCCTTATAGACAATCAGCTACATACTGGAACATTATAAAATTATATAAAGAAAATAGTAAAGGTAAAGACAGATGTGATGAGGGTGCTCTCACAGGCACAGTGATGATGGAAGCCTTACAATGGATGCCATTTGGGCAGAACTCTAGATGCATGCAAACTTCAAGAGGACATAAGCTTCTGTCTCATCCATCACAATACTCTAAGTGATTCAATGTATATCTGGCACGTACTAGGTACATTAACAAATACTTATGTAATGAATAAATATGCATCTCTTTTTCTTAGTACTTTTAATACTGCATTTACTCTTTGGTTTCTGAACTGAACTTGGAATTTCATCAAGAGGGGATAAATTTTTCTTATTCCATCCCTTTATCTTACTGGGTCTGGTTTAGAGTGGCTACAGGTGTGTGCAGAATAAAGAAGGAAGTAAGGGGTTATGATTAACAAGTGTTTCACAATACACTCAGGGACACCATATAAACAATTGCTTCAGAGGGCGACATGTGCGCCTAAGAATCATATATGTTCACACTAAATTGCGAATTGGATGCATATCAGATGCAGTAGTATCTGAATTAATGATTTTTTGATAAAACTAACTTCTTTCAAAGCAAGCTTTGGAATATTTAAAAGCTGAAGAAGTCATAGATTTTTTTTTTTCTCCTCAGTCTCTTTTCACCACAAACTTTCTGGCTGGCTTAAGATGTTTGGAGTATGCTTTAATAAACTGCAAAGTCCTACAGCCCTGCAGCTGAATCTAGCAGACTCTCAGAAAGGTAGATTTGGGCATTAAGCAAAAACAGGCTAACTGAACTCTAACACTGGGCATTTCAGCACTTCCCTGTTTGAAAACAAGTGAGCATTTCTGGACTGCTACCAGACATAGTAATGATGACAAGTAATGAAACCCAGCACAGAAGAGGTCACCGATAGCTCATGGCAAAGCAGTCCCCATGGCAGCTCTGGGCCTCAGGCATGCTCTGTGCAGATATATTCACTGTTCTCAAACACAACTTGAAACATGTATAGAAAACTAAGCTCCAGTCATACTTCTTACTAGACAGCCAAGTAAAATAGAAAAACTATGTCAAAGATCAGAAACAAAAATGTTTTATTTTTCCCAACTGCATACAATTAACTTTCGTTGAAAGGTTTCTTCAAGGCTAGATCTAGAAAGAAAAATCCTGATGGGAGCTAAAACTGCCCCTGCCCATTAGGTGCCTCCACTCATAGTGCTACAACTTTTACCATCCTCTCTCCCCACCAACAAACCAATGTTTTGGATAATGGAGGGTCCAGAACTTGCTGTCCTGTGCCTAATGTCTTTAGTATGAATTCCACCTGCCTGCCAGGTTTCTTTTCCTAGCAAGACTGCATGGAACCTTCTGCCTCTTAAAGCACTGGTGTAAGACTCAAAGGTGAAAATTAAAGGGCTAAGGTAATGTTTCTTAACTGTTGTTTTAAGAATTACTGGTGTTTTCTGAGGTTACACAGAGAAAAAAAATGTTCAGTGATCAAAGAAGCACCTTGAAAACACTGCATACTCCATTGCCCAAGTGGAAAGTCACAATACACATTGGAATGCATAAAGAACTTTTAAAAAATGGAAAATCCCAAATAATATTCAGATGGGGGGTAGTTAAAGTCATTCAGGAACAGTAATCAGTTGTTAACAAAGGTGATACGGATCTCTACATAATATGGTGAAAACATCTTGTAGACATGGTAAGTAGAAGCTGAGTCGAATTTCTGAACGTAACTAATATCTCATTAAGAAAAAGCCAAATCCTATGTGCAGATATGATTTTTACATAGTAAAATAAAATATATAAAATTGTAAAAGGATATAGAGCAAATTATTAAGACTGCTAGTCTCTGGGGAATAGAGTTGGAGAATGAAGGAAACTTGTACTTTTTACTTTATAGATTAAGATACTATTTGAATTTATAGCCTTTTTATTACTTTTATAATAAAAAATCAAGTGCTATATTAAAAAATAGACATAAAATATAGCAGCAAATACATCTGTTTAGCTTTAACAGAGCACTTTGCAAACTCATGTGGTTCCTGAACCCTGGTTTCGTGGAACACTCAAACCATTCGTGCAACAAATTTTGAAGTTACTGTGCTCAGACTCTTCTCACTCCTGAACAGCATATGGATTTTAACCTCCTGTGGCCTTCCGTAGATGAGTGAAGGAGGCAGAAGGGACCTCTAGGGTTGCCTAGCACTTAGTCCCTACTGAATGCCTATTACCGTTGTTATTGGGGCCACTGTAACAATTAGCAGGAGACAATGTATGTAGAGAATATGGTATGGTGCTTGGCAGATAGGTGGGGCTCAAAATCCACCAGCATTATTTCCCAAACCATTTCTGATTTAACGTTATGAATGACTATGATCCAAGGAGACCAGTATGGGATACAGGCTGTCATCCTGATAATGACACATCAAAATAGAGACATCAAGAGATACTAGGATAATTAATTACAGGTCCAGCTGGGAATAAAAAGCTTTCTGGAACACACAGCCTTTTCCAGGCCAGACAGGAGACAGGCTCACCCATGGGGAGCTGCAGGAGCTGGCAGCACTCTCCCCAACCCTGAGGGACCACACACATGGAGACAGGATCTCAGGGGTGAAGCATTTCAATGGTTTGTCTCACAAAGCAGTAACATCATAACCCTTGGCCTGAAATGATACCTTGCTGCCGGAAGTGCAAAGCCATCCAGAGAGTATCTCATTCATCTCTGGGTTCCTCAGGGATGAGGGTAGGTAGGCAGTGTAGCTATTCCTTTACAAACAGGAGAACATGCACTTTAGAGCAATAAAATGCTTGTATTTGCTCCAACAGTCTATTGGTGCTGAGAGAACCTGACAATCAGCTTGTGACTGGCCAAGGCTTGTACCCTAAATCTTACCCTTGGAAACACCTTGAAGGATCTGAGAACAGCAGGATTTGGACAGGATGCACCCCCTGGCCTTCCCCCTCTTCCTAGACCAGAAAGCTGCACGGCTCACCTGTCACTGAACTGGACCTCCTCTCCATTCCTGGCCCAGGTGATGGTAGGCCTTGGGTTGCCTACGGCCTCACAGTGCAGCAGCACACTCAGCGTCCCGCTGGCCAGGGCCACGGTCTGCCCCAGGTGGGTGACCACCTCGGAGGCCGAGAGTTGCTGGGCCGCAGAGATCTTCCGCAGGATGGCCGGCTTGCGCTGCGGCCGCCGAGGACCACCGCCTGCCTGGCTGGAGGTTGAGGTGCGCAGGGCGCTGCTGAAACCAGACACGTGCTTGTGCGGAGGGATGGCCACGGGCGGAATCCTCTGCTCCGAGGGCTTAAGGAGCGAATCCTGGTGCTCCACGTGGCTGCGGAAGAGCTCCTGGGCCAGCTGGGCCACCAGGTGCTTTCTGTAGAGGTCTCGCAGCTCCTCGGGCTGCTGGGAAATGTTCCTGAGGATGTCGTCCAGGCGCTTCTGCTCGGCCACCATGGTGAAGGGCAGGTGTGGCAGGGCCTGCTCCGCGTTCCCATCCTCCTCCGAAGACGCGTTCCTCTCCGTGGAGTCCTGCACCTCCCACGAGGCCAGGAGCTCTCCCGGCCAGCCGCCCTGCTCCAGCAGCCGCGACACAAGGTCATCGTAGCGGCTCCCTGTATCCACGGCCAGGCCCCGCTTCTCAGCCTTGCTGCCATTGGTGGAGAAGATCCCGTTTCGGTGTTTGTGGGTCTGCAGGGCCTCCTTGGTGCTGGCTTTCCTCGCAGCGAGGACCTCTTCCTCACTCCGCAGGCCCAGGGGCTGGGCCACGAGCTTGTGGTTGCCCCCAATGAGCTTAATCACAAAGTGCTCGCGGGCTGGGCCGGCGGAACAGGTGTAGATGCCGGCATCTGATGGCTTGAGCCTGTGGATCTTCAGGTAGCCGAAGGGCGCCACGGTCACGTGCGCTGAGCTGATGAGGTGCTGGCCATCTTTCTCCCAGGTGATGAGGGGCTTGCGGACCCGGCGCGTAGGGCAGCGCAGCACCACCGCGGTCTTGGGCAGCAGGTAGGCGAAGCCGCCCACCACGAAGTGCAGCCGCCTCTGCCTGCGCGTCTGGATGTAGACCTTGCGCGCAGCCGCGATGTGCGGGCTGTGCTTTGTGGATGGCCGCCCAGGCCCTGGAGCCGGAGGGAAGCCAGGTGATCCGAGGAGGAGAAGGGGAGAACAGAGACAAACAAGAGTGAGAGGCAGCCGCCGGAGAGGAGAGACGGGGAAGGAAAGGCTGGCCGAGAGAGAAAAGACACCCACACAGGCTCCCAAAGAGACAAAAGGGAAGGAGCTCTTCAGAGTTGCATTTCGGCCCGGGAGGAATTGGCTCCCAGCTGTGGACCATCAAGCTGCCACCACAATCAAAAACTCGAGAGCTAATGAGGAGCACCCGGGGCAACCACGTCTCACCCTGCTGGGAGCTGTCTCTGGAAGCTGAGATCAAGGTTCGAGATGGAGGGGGAGCCCATGGGAAAGGCAGCTCCTCTCATTAAAAAGCATTAAAGAAAAAAAAATCAGCATCATAAAAGGAGGCAGAGGACAAAGAGAAGAATATCTTCCATTAGATGTTTACCTTTTGGGTCCTGCAAAGCACCAGGGCCCCAAAGTGCACAGCCAGGAGAGCCTAGAAGTGTTAGAACTCTAGGGATTAATATTGAACAGAACAAATCTGTTTAGGGTAGTTTAAAACCCCAGAGTGAATAACATTAGACTTCATTAGCAATGTGCTGCCTCCGGCTTCCAGATCTCCGTATGCCAGCTAATGAACTTTGCTCTACCCTCTGCAAACTGCTTTTCCAGAGCAGAGGAGGATTGAGTCTGGCCACCTGTAATTAAGATTCCTGTTCCGTCTCCAGCTGAGCCCTGCAGCCTGCAACCCTTCACAGGGCTTGGTGGCTCCAGCTGCTGCTCTGTGGGGTTTCATCTCCCTGTCCCCTGAGCCCTGATGTACTCACTTGCACAGGTTGCCAGCATGCAGGGCCTGATGGAAGAGGAGAAAGGTAGAGGTGGGCACAGAGTGGAATTGATCACAGTTGAGACCCCCGTTTTCAGCAGCTTTCGGCACACGGCGCTCCGAGTCTGGGTGCCTTCCCCGCAGCTCGTGGAACACTGGAGAAAGAGAGGTCAAATGCACAGATATTCAGAGAACCAGAGGCAAATGGGTTTTTGCTATGAACTTTCAAACTCGTCGGAATATGAATAAAGTTGCCTGGAAAAGCAACAGCCATGGAGAGAAGTGTGATGTAACAATGTGATACTCTGGCCATCTAATACTCACATTCCACTCTAACATTTTCTACTCTAAGGTTTTCTGTAGACATTTTACCTGTTTTTACTTATGTGGCCTGGGTTCAAATCGCAGCTCAGTATCACCAGTTGGCGAGTTACTTAAATATATATCTATAATATATATATAAAAGATTTATTTATTTGAAAATCAGAGATAGAGAATGGAAGGGGTGGGGGAGAGAGAATATCTTCCATCTGCTGGTTCACTCCTGAAATGACTGCAATGGCCAGAAGTGGGCCGATCTGAAGCCAGGAGCTGAAGCTTCTTTCAGGTCTCCCATGTGGGGTGCAGGGGCCCAAGTACTTGGGCCATCTTCTGCTGCTTTCCCAGGTGCATTAGCAGGGAGCTGGATAGGAAGTAGAGAAGCTGGGACTTGAACCAGTGCCCATATGGGATGCAGGCTCTGCAATTGGTGACTTTACCTGCTACATCACAGTGCTGGCCTCTAAATGTAAATTTACTCATGATAGGGTGTACACTTGCTGTGGTGGTTAATCTGCTGCTTGGGACACCTGCATTCTATTTCTGAGAACATGGGTTTGAGTCCTGGATCTGTTTCCATTTCCAGCTAATGTGTACCCAGGTGGCTAGCAGGTAATGGCTGCAGTATATGGGTTTCTGCCACCAGCATGGAAATACCCAGGTTGAGTTATTGGTCCAGCCCTGGCAATTTTGGGCACTGGGGGAATGAGTCAGTGAATGGGAAATATATATTTCTCTCTGCATTTCAAATAAAAAATGAAAACAAAAGTTCAAAAATTACCATACCACCCAGCAATTTCACTTCCAGGTATTTACCCATTCACACAAAAACTTATACACAAATCAGCCCAAAAGTGGAAACAATTCAGTGTCCATCAATTGTTGAATAAAATGTGACATAGCTATACAATAGAATACTATTTAGGCTTAAAAGGAAACATGGTTCTTATACATGTTACACCATGGATAAACCTTAAAAACATTATAAGTTAAATTTTATAATATGCAAATTATACCTCAATAAGATTATTTATAGAATTAAATAGTAATTAAAGAATTAAGTGAAATGATAAAGACAGCTAACAATATTATAAAATTAATGCTAATGTATATTGACTAGTTACAGCACATTGGAGATTTCCTGGTCTAGGTCTTGAAGATAGTTGGGGTCTGGTGAGTGTAGCAAAATAAGGACAAGTACAGGAGGTGGGGAAATTTCCAGAATACAGGTGGAAGAATTCAGTGTTGAAATCCAAAGCAGGCTTTGGTGCAGAATTAAATCAGTTTGATGGAAGAGAGGGACCAAGTTAAGAGTGTCAGGAACTTAACAGGTAGTTTGGGGCCAGACTTTGGAAGCCTTTACCTTTCAGACAAGAGATTTGGAAATGGTCCACAAGGTAATGGGAAGCCACTGAGGAGGGGAGTGACTTGATGAAAGAGGTGTTTGGAGAAGGTTAATCTGGCAACAGTGTACAGAGGGACGGGAGTGGGAGATGGATGAAGGCTGGGATGACAGGGAAGGAGGCTGCCACAGTAGTCCAGGCTTGAGATGATAGCGCCCTGAACTAGGGTCATGGCAGTGTGCCACATTAACATGAAGAACGACAGGAAGGAACAGCCACAAATTCTCCTATCTTCCAGTTTTATATGCTTTCACTTTGAAATGGCACTGTTCTGTGCAATGTGTTGTGATATACACAAGAAAGGACTTTCAGATGGAAAGGATGAAGATGAGAGCAACCCTCATTGCTTTTGTTGCCTAATGATTATGGATTCCAGATTCTACCCATCACTTATTTTATTGTAAATGACAGTATCAAATTCTAGAATCAGGTGGACTGGAAGCGAGGAGTTAGACAATTTTAAATGCATGGTCATTTTTAAAGCTGCTAAGTAGAAATACAGAAAAATAAATAGGTTGTTAGGAGAATCAGGTATGACTTTGGTCAAGTACTTTCTCTAACTTTAATCGCCACATCTCTGAAATATGGATGCTGACTTAGAAAAGGGACTTTCAAAATTTTTTTTTCTATTTTCCATAGTTCCAAATGTTCCATTGTTCCATAGTTATGTTGAAGAAGTGATTCAGTGGCCTCTCAGGTGATGGGGAGACCAAACCACTGGTGATCTGGGGCCCCACCCACACTTCGACCAAAATAGCTCTGGCTTTATCTGTTTTATATTTTTGGTTTCATAACATTTCATTTGATAAAAGGTTACTGTGACTTTAATTAAAAAATAAAAAGCAATAAGAATATAGGCCCTGCTAGGCTCCTCCCAACTCTAAAATTGACTATCCTGACTTTAATTTCTTTTTTTTTGGGGGGGGGGAGAGTTTACAACTTTCATAAAAATATAAAATATTTAATAACTAACTCTTCCAGGGGATTGAAGTTTTTTTTTTTTTTAAAGAAGAGACAGATGGCCTTTTGAGAGATCTTATTTTCAGAATAGAATCTGCAAGTAATTTTATTTGAAATGTCTACAACTTTGGCTTAATTCTGTCTCTGAGGGATTCTGTGCAGTAACCATGAGATTGAGCCCAGATAGCTGAGGATGAAAAACACCCATAGATCATCCAGGTCTTCCTTTCTCCAAGGGAAGTCTTGTAGGGGGTGTGGAATGCACATCTCATCTCGGTCAGAGGGCCAAGGCAGTGACTACTGGGATGACAGGGCCAATGTGGAGCTAAAGCTAAACGTGAACACCTCCAGGAGCACGGGTCCACGGCACCAGCCTGAATGTAATCCCAGTGATTGGGTGATTACTTGCCACCATTTCTAGCTGTTCCCCAATGTTTGGACTTTCCATGTATCAATGCAGAGAGTGCTGCAACTAACAGCACTCCTTGGATAAGGCCTTTCCACTCTTAGTTCCCCAAATGTTAACTTTCTCATGCTGAGAAGACCAGCGGCACCCATGGGAGGCCTAGGCTGTGGGTCTCAGTGCAGCCAGCCGACACGAGGCTGTCCTTTTATTTTACCTCTGTCTCCTGACATTGAACGCAGTTGGAAGAAAATCATAACAATAACAAGGGTTAACTTACCAGGAACAATGTACTTTACATGCATAATTCCATGGACACTATTATATCTCCACTTCTCTGATAAGCAAATTAAGGCCTGGAAGGCTAAGTAACTAGTCTCAGTTCACACAGACAGTAAGGGGCAGAGTCAGGATTTGAAGCCAGGTTTGGGCTATGAATTGTCTCCCTAAAGGCTCATATTCTGGAAGCATGGCCCTCAGCATGGGAATGCTGAGGTTGGTGGAATCTTTAAGAGGCAGGGCCCAGGGTGGGGGTAATTTGGTCATTGGGGTGCAGCCTTCACAAGGGATTAAGGCTGGTCTTGTAGAGTGAATGAGTTCCCTCTCTAGTAGGTAGTTAGTGGATTGTTATAAATCAAGGTCACTTCAAATGCTTGGCCCTTTATGCACATGGCCAATTCCCTTTCTGATTCTCTGCCACGTTGAGATGCAGCCAAGGGGGCCCTCATCAGAGGCCAAGAAGACGGTGCCACCTGGTCTTGGACTTCCAGCCTCTACAACCACAGGCTGAACAAGTTTCTCTTCTTTGTAAAGTACCCAGCCTCAGGTATTTTGTTCTAGCAACAGAAAACAGACTCCTATGGTTTGCCCATCTTTGGGGCTCAACTCTAAACTACAATGGATTGTGTTAAAAAAAAAAAAAAAAGCCTGCTTTCTGTAGGGGGACCCAATTGACCTCAGTCTAGTCGTCTCCTTTCCTTAGTGCCTGGTCACAAGGGTCCCTTTTTCAAATCTGCATGTGGAAGAAAACTTCTGAATTACCTGTGTACAGTTTGTTCCAGAGGCCACAAACTCTAGAAACACGGGAAGATGATTACAACACAGATAACACCCTTTCTCAGCGTGCCATGCGTAACAGACTTGGGAGTGCAATGCCTTTCACAGGACTCCGCTGGGTGGAATCTTCACTTACAGCCACTTGGCAAACACATCACAGCTCTTTCCTGCACTCCTTTGGGTTATAATTTTTTCATATATAATGCCATACCCCCAAATCAACATTTTCCTGGAAAAATTGCCACCAACATGCCCAGGAACCTTAATAACCTATAGGTTATTAAGCATAAATACACACATGCTTAACTACGCACTTTTAATTCTTTAGCTTGCTGAAAATCAAATTGTTTCTAAAATATGAAAACAATCATTCCTCCTTGTATTCTGAGACATTTGTGGTGAGACATGACCAGAGACAATTTGACTGCTAACAGTAAAAATGATGGTAAGTTCCCTCTCGGTTGCAATGCCCACTGTGGGCACCATCTGATGGAACTCTATCCAGGCTGATAATATATGGGGCAAGAATGCTAAGAACCTATGTTGAAAGAGCTAGTGGCTGGCGCCGCGGCTCACTAGGCTAATCCTCTGCCTAGTGGCGCCGGCACACTGGGTTCTAGTCCCGGTTGGGGCACTGGATTCTGTCCCGGTTGCCCCTCTTCCAGTCCAGCTCTCTGCTGTGGCCCGGAAGTGCAGTGGAGGATGGCCCAAATGCTTGGGCCCTGCACCCCATGGGAGACCAGGAGAAGCACCTGGTTCCTGGCTTTGGATCAGTGCGGTGCGCTGGCCGCAGTGTGCCAGCCGCGGCGGCCATTGGAGGGTGAACCAACGGCTAAGGAAGACCTTTCTCTCCATTTCTCTCTCTCACTGTCCACTCTGCCTGTCGAAAAAAAAAAAAAAAGAGCCAGCATCCTAGATTAACAGGTAGCTTTCGCTCTGGAAGCAAGTGTCTGATGTTTTTCAGCCAACAGCAGCTCTACCCTGTGAGCTGCACATGACACAAAAAAGGTCATGGGGTCAGGAAACCCAATTCAAATGTTTATATTCAAAAAAGGGAAAGGGTTCTGAGTCTTGTTTTGACATGGAGAGTTTCATTTCAGGCCTAGTTGATTATGTTCTTGGCTCAATCTGCCTGTGAGGCAGCAATTTTGGGACTTTTCTCCTGGAGATCACGGGCTTATGGAGCTGAGGGAATTGAAGGCACCTCTCAGAAGTAGTAGGGACTGGAAGCAAATGAGTTGAAGATGGGTGTACATTCATCAGTTTGTGCTAGCTTTAGAATGATGATAGAAAAATATGTGCATACTCAGAAAGTTCATAGAAAAATGGAATTAAAGGATACATTTATTTTGGAACAACATTTTTTCATAGTATGCACTTTCCATGAACTTTTTGAAGACTGCCACTCAGATGTCTGGGTTTCAAAATGTTTTCACCAAAATATACATATATCCTAAGCCATTTTCCATTAACTTTTTGAAGTTCCCATCCGGGTTAGTTGGGGGTATATATTCCTAACTTAGAAGGCAAAGTCAGGAGTGGAATACTGATGCAGTCACTTCCCAAAATGCAGGGCAACAGGGGAAATCAAGTTCTCTTGCTGGGAAGTTGTTGACGTTTTAGAGCCAGGAAACTAACAGTAAAGAGGCAGGATTTCCTTGGCCTTCTTTTCCTAATAAATCACATCCTTTATTGTCCAGTAACTTGGACGAGAACTAGAGCGGCTTTGCCCTTCCTGAGCTGAGACCAGAAACATCTGGGAGTAGGAGGTACAGGGAGGTCAGGAGGAGGGGAGTGGTGTGGAGATGGAGGGAGAAGAGCCCAGTGTTCTGAACAGAATCCTGGGCCCAAAGAGCACACACAAGGAGATGGCTTTGTTCCACAAGGAGCCCACTTCCCATTGCTGGGTAAGGGCTGGCTGTGTATCTCAAGTCCCTGTGGCCTCATTAAAAGTAGTTACACACTAGGGTATGAATGGTAAAAAAAAAAACACTGTTCCCAGGTTAGAAGGATTGTTCTCTTCTCACCATTTCCTGTGTCTATGTTTAGGGAGCCTTCTTTCCTTCCATGTGGCCCTTTTATTCTCTCCTGAGGAACACACATACCTCTGTCCACTCGGAGAGAACCCACTCACTGGGGCAGTCATCTTTCCTGCAGGCCTGCTGGGAGGCCGGTTTGGACGCTGAGCAGAAGGTCTCAGGGAGCTCCAGGAAGCTGCCATCAGCCATGCGCTGCTTGCAAAGGACCTCGCGTCTCTGCTCACCCCCACCACAGGTCCTGGAACACTAGGGAAGAGAAAGTTGACTTAAGGTAGGAAAGCTGCTTGAGCAGCGTTTGAACCAGGCTGAGTTAACAAACAGAACACAACAGAAAACACAAACCAGGAAAAAGACAAACCAGGAATCATGCCAAATGATTTCGTCTTCTCTCTTTGAGACGAATTTTGTAGCAAGATCTACATTCTCTCCACTCTTAATCCCAGGCATTTAACTGGAGCATGCAAGAATTTTGGGGGCCTTGAAATCTTAGAAAGTTGCTCCTGAACTATGATTTGTAGGCACTCAAGATAACTGGTTTAAAAGGTTAGTATAATAGTGTGTTCAACATATTTATGACCCACTGAACATAATCGGTGCTGCTTGCAGGTTGAATGAGAGCGGGCTCCTGCCATCAGTATAAATCTGGAGAAATGAATTCGCAGAGGAGACAGCCCTTTGTCCAAGTGTAGGCACTAGCTCTACCACACTGAACGGCTCATTAGATGTAGGGCCTGGTTTTCTGAAGAACTCCCTCGGAAGAGTTTTCTTGCAGGACTAATGATTTCTCAGGGCTGTAAGAGCCAGGGCCCCTGAAGTTTGGGATGCAAGAAAAATAGCCTCATGTCAGTGGTTTTCAGAGGAACCCCAATAAAACACATTGTTTACGTGTAACTTAATAGTTATAATCCAGCTGCCCGAGGCGGGAGGGAGGCCCCCTGAGGGAAGACTCTCCAAGTACTTGTCCTCTCCCTCATAAGAGCAGAAGAGCTCCCAGTTTGTATCTTTTTATCTGGGCACATAACTTATCAACATAAAGACTGCAGTTGGCTCCTCCTTGGAAGAGGGAACCGTCATTTGAGTAACTTCTAGCCAAGGGGTATAAACAGAACGATTATGTGCAATTTCAGAGAAGCACCCAACAAGAAAATGTGGTGTCTCTTCCCTTCTCTTTCTCCTCCTTGCTGGCTGGAACATGAAGTGAGGTCAGAAACTGAAGCTTCCATCTTGGACTGTGATAGGCAAAAAAGATAGAAGTCTGGCTTCCTGATAGTGAAGCCACCTCACTAGCCCTGGCCTGCCTGTGTTTGCCGGAAAGAGAAATAATTAGCTTATTGAAGCCATGGTAATTTTTAAAAATTGCCTTTAGTCAGCTGTAACCCTCTGTACTAAATCAACCAATGACCACTCGTGCTGGGGATATTTTATTGTAAAAATCCTAAGGAGAGCTCTGTTTAGGAATAGTCACTTTAACTTGCTGCCCTTGGTTTGCAGAGGAATCAGGCCTGGGTTTAAAGAGGTTGACAGATTGTGCCAAAAAATTTGCTCCTGCTGCAGTGGTGCAGCAGTGGTCCTCACAGTGGGCTGTACTCAGCATTGCAATGGGGATTTTTGCAAGGTTACAGCCGTGGTAACTAGCAATGTCCCTAGGTACAGGCAGAACACTGTGGTGGTCTAGATTCAACCTCTTGCTCATTGGTCTCATCCTGGGATGTGTGTGAAAGTTACCTTGGAGCTCTTCAAAACTACTGATGCCTACACCCTACGTTAGTTCTATCAAGTCAGAAATTCTGGGAGGTGGGCCCCAAGGGTTTTTTTTTTTTTTTTCCTTTAAGAATTTCTAGGTAATTCTATGCCCCACCACATTCCTGATGGAAATAAAATAAATGTGAAAAAGAAAAATCTGACACCCAGAGTAGGCACTCTCAGGATCATTGGTTATCTGGACCCCACCAGAGCAAATATGCCATTTATGAATGGCTGTGAATGACTTAGAGGTTATGGAGCTGTAGGAGAACGATAGAAAAGCTATCAACTTTGTTTAGTTAGGCCTTTTAATCCTAGAGCATTACAAATGATCCAAACCAATGGTGAACAGTATTTTTTTATTTTCATTTAAAATTTCAAAGATTGAAAATAACCAATTGATTTCCATATGAAAAAATATATTTTCCTACCACCTATCCATTGAAGGCTAATAAAAATGTGAAACCACCATATGAAGCGGATATTGTCCCAACTGACAGATAAAGAAGCTGAGGTTCAAAGAGGTAAAGGAACACAAATAAAGCCACACAGGGACTAGACTTGGTATATTTCCATTCAGTGCAGTATTTACTGAGCTCCTATTGAACACTGTGCTCTGACAAAGCTGGAGAAGAGTCCCTCAGTCAGCTTCTCTCCCTGGTGGTGACAGGAGCTCCTCTCTGCTTGCCCATGGGGTACCCGATGGCCAGAACTCTGACTACAATTCATGCAGAGCCCCAAGCCTCTGATAGCCTGGTCTCACCCTCTCACCTCACTCTGCAGGTGGTGCTTTGCAATTCAAATCTTAGCCTTCAGTCTGGTTAGCATCCCTGACAGGCAGCAGCCAGCCTAAGATCCAGGTTCAGGATCAGAACTCTAAAATATTTCACACACATTCTGGGGTTCCTGGAAATGTTCTCCATAAATCCTTTGTTTTCTGAGTTGAAAGACTACCTCTGAACAGAACTCCTCAGGAAACTGGGTTGGAAACAAGACTTGAACCAGCCACTTCAATATGGGATGTGGGTGTCTCAGGTAGCAACTCAAGCGGCTGCACCAAACATGCACTCCACTTTAATGCCCTTTGTATCTACTATGCTTTGAGCAGTACCTTCTGCAAATTTAAATCCTTGATAAATGTTTGTATCATTGAATTGAATCTGGTACTTGTGAGAAATTTAAAGTGGTGGCTAAGAATTCCATTTGCTTCAGATAACCCTTGTTACTAAGGATAACTAAGGTTCCCCTCCTTCCCCTGGATTTATTTATTTGAAAGGCAAAGTGACAGCCAGAGAGAGAGAGGAGGAGGCAGAGAGAGTGATTTTCCATCCACTGGTTCACTCTCCAAATGCTCACAATAGCCAGGCCAAAGTCAGGAGCCAAGGACTTGATCTGGGTCTTTCATATTTTGGGGCAGGAACCCAAGAACTTGGGCCATCATTTGCTGCCTCCCAGATGTATATGCGGGGAAGTCAATCAGAAGCGAGGTGGGCTCCATCTCAGGTCCTCTGAAATGGGATGCAGGCATTCCCAAGTGGCCTAACCCACTGCACCAAAATGCTCACCTGAGATAAATAAGGTTTTAGATTTAGTTTTACTGTCTTTTGTATGATTTTGTAGGTTCAATTTTCTTTTATTTCTGCCAAATTCTCACTTCTAATCAGCACGTTATGCTATAATCAGAATACTTGTCAGCTCCTATCGCTCAATCTTTCTTCAGAACTCTTTCATAACTAGACAACCAGCCATGTGAACTGCTGACTCCGAAGTATTTGCCAATTTAGGGACTGTGTTCTTTACAATACTTACCATCCTGTGAATTACTAAAACCTTCTATGAATTTAATATAGCTTCTTGAAAGTACAATTGTATGAAAAAAATTTATGGTAATAAATAAAAATTTTTAATCATAAGCTCTGAATTTTCCTCTAGGCCTACTCAACCTGTCCACTGAAATGCAATAAGCATGTTGATTTACATCTGTTCAAAATAAAACACTTGATACTCTTTCTCCAACGTCACCCTCAGTTACTCCTTTCTCAGTCTTCCCCAACCAATATGGCTCCATGTAGGATGAAAACTTGGGTAGTATCCTAAGTTTTTCCTTTTTATCACCAGGTCTCCCAGAAACCCCTTTCATGAACAAATGTTGTCGGATTTACCTACAAAATAAATACTCTATGCCTCTAAGATAAATAATTATGATCTGAGTGTCTGCATACAGCATCCCCTCTAAAATTCATATGTTGAAATTCTAACTTCTAAAGTGATGATATTAGGAGTTGTATGTGTGCGTGTTTTGGGGGAGAAGTGATTAGGTCCTGCAGGTGGAGACCAATGACTTGGATAAATGTTCTTATAAAAGAGGCCTCACAGGGCTTCCTTGCTTCTTCTATCATTGCAGACACCTATGACCCAGGAAGAGAGTTTTTACCAGGTATTAAATATGCTGATGCCCTGATCTTAGATGTCCCAATCTCCAGAACGGTGACATACAGCTGCTTCTTGTATATAAGCTACGCAGTCTATGGTATTTTGTCTTAGCAGCCCAAATGGACTCAGACATTGAGCTTCTTGCTTTCTCTGTCAGGACATGCAGGCTATAGTTGCTACACTTCAATGTGATCATTTGAGGAGAGCTCCTTCCTCCTTCTGATGCTGGCTGGAAACCCTGTTGGTTGAGCACAACACAACCAGAGGGTGAGTGAGCTTACTGAAATAATCAATTAGATCAGCCTCCTAAGGCATAAGAGGAGAAGGCAGAATGAATGGATATAAAGTAGCAAGGGAAGAGATTCAGTGTATCATCATACTCCCCACAGTTATCAGTTTGTAGACTTTATGTAAGAGAAAGATGCTTACATAATTCCCTGAAAACTACCAGAGGTCTGAAACATGATGACAAAATAGCTACAAAATGGCTACCTTGTTATTTTGAAATCTGATGTACACATAAAGCTTTTAGGAGATTCTGAATGGCTAGAAGGTAATGATCAGACTCCCGAGAATGTCTTTCAGGGTCCTTATGCTCTAACACTTGATTTCTTTGCATGTTCCTCACCACTCTGTCATGAGCCAGTGCTTCAGCTGCAGTGGCATATTTGCCCTTTCTTGGACACATGGATGAATTATATTCTCAGGACTTTTATTATGTTGTTACCATTGTGAGCAATTCATTTTAGTTCTTTGTTCATCCAGAAATTTCCAAGACATTCATCAAGGCTCAGCTTTAAGGCCACTGTTCATTAAAGCCTCCTTTAAGCCCTTTGTATCTGGGTGACTATGTCACTTCCACTCCATGCTGACCTGGAAGGGTGTTCTATGTCTTCTATAGGAATTCATCATTTATGTGTCTGCCATTTTCTCCCACTTTCCCGCATTCACACAGGCTCATGAGTCTTTTGAGGGAAAAAAAGTTCATTCACCTTGATTTTCGCCAGTGCCTAGAGCAGTGTCTGGCAAAGAACACAAGCTCCCTAAATGTTTGTTGGATTGATGATTGG